CTCCCCTACTAATACGGGGACATAACAAAAACGAGTTAAATTATGTTAAATTAGGTTAAAATATGTTATGAGGTACCAAAGGTAAATAAGCGCCCGGGCGCTAAATCGAATCATTACGGTGACACAGGAAAAAGTAACATCTTGAGGAAAGTAATGAACAACTTTAGCTTCTCAACGATTATAATCTTGACTGAGAGCTTTCTTAAACTATAATGAAGAATTTATATATGCTCTGCTGGGGTCTTCTCCAATATACCTATCATAAAAAAAGAAACAGAAAACGAGAAAAATAAAATTAGATAAATAAATAACCTTTGTTTAGTGTTAGGCGGTGTTTTTAAGTCTACAGGGGCCGGGCAATTATAAGCCGAGGTTAGAAGAGCCAACTAGTTAGTTATTTACAAAAGTGGCCAAGGCCGGGAGGACGGGGATGGGTGGCAGCTACCTTTTGATCTTGCCTCTTTCGGGTGGTTTCGATGATCGCCCCATTACAGACATCTGTCAGTTATTTGAGAACCGTAACGAGCTTGCGCATAACGCGAGGAAATCGCAACAAGTTCGCCGCTAGACCGCCGCCATGTTCCACGCCTCGCTGCCCGAGGAGTTGAACACGAGTCTACCACTCCAGCCAGTGGTCAGAACGGGACTTGAACCCGCAAGCTTCGGATTTTAAGGCCGATACCACACCTCCTCGGCCATTCGGCCACGCTACCTCCTTGGTTGCACAATAAAGTCTGAGGGATCTGTTTTGTCTTCAAAGATTCTCCGGGTGTATTCCAGTTTCAAGCAGTGGAGTTAAAAGTGTCAGAAGATGCAGGGATTGCGAGCATTGTAATAGAAAACACTGGCAATACAACAGTGTCTGTAGTTGTAAGGTATGGAATTTGTACGGAAATTATAATTAAGACTATTTTGATTTTGAACTCCGGCAAAATGGAAAAGGCTCATGTATTAGACAAAAGGAATGCCTTTTCAAAGTAAGCTGAAGGTATCAGTTCAAACCACTTCAGACACTTTTGAAAGATTTTGCTGCATATGATGCAGACAGTCAGTAATAAACCATAACGGCACTCGCTCTCCACCAATCAGAATTAAGCTATTTTGACAAGTAGGTAAAAAAAGATTGGAAAAAAACTAAAAATTCTCAATCACTTAAGTTAACAGGGTCGAAGTGTTTAGCGCTGCTGTACTCATAAGCAAGCAAATATCGTAAATGGAATAGAGACGTGTTAAGAATCGTAAATAGTGGGACAGTGGGCTTTTTGCAGAGCATGGAGGAATTGACCACCAAATACAACTACATCACGCGGCAGTGAGAAGGATGCGATTTCAACCTGGAACTTCTTTAAAACCGATCCAGCATCCTTGCTATTAGGTCTTAAAACATTAACCCCACTTGATTTTTCTTTTAGCGTCACCACGACTGACGTGACAGCCATAAACGGGGCTGACTACATCGGAGTATCTGGTACCCGGATATCTTTTACACAGGGCGAATCGACGAAAACATTTGATATCCCTATTATAGATGACGAGGCAGACGAGGGTGAAGAATCATTTTTGGTCAGCGTTAAGCTCCATGGTCCATCTCGTCCAAGTGCTGCGTTAGGACCAAGGAGACAGATGACGGTCATAATCGAGGATAACGATGGAGTGATTCCCACCACATCCCGGGGTCTGTAATAATCAATCAATCAATAAATAAATAACTCTATCATGTGCTAAGTGGGGACACTGTAAATAAATTACCAAATATTGCAAATACAACAGCATGTAAACTATTAAGAATTCCAACTGGTGGGAGGCTGACCAGTTGGTTATTTACACAACGCGGCGGAGAAGTTGAACTCGGGACTACCAAGAACAAATTCAGAGAGCGGTAGGGACGGGAGGATTTGAACCAGGGTCCTCCGGATTTCAAGTCCGGCACACTAACCACTCGGTCACGCTGCCTCCCCTGGTATAACGTATTGGTTCTAAAGGTGGTTCTATTTATCCTTTCCCATGATTCTCAGTGAAGGACATTTAGCATATGAAACCGTTCTCTCGACCGAACACCAAATGGCCAAAAAACTGGAAAAACTACGAAGAATCCTTCTTTCCCTTTAGATAGCTAGGTAAGAAGCTAATAAGTAAATAAATTAATAAAATAAATAAATAAATAAACAGATAGATAGATAAATAAATAAATTGGCAGGGAGAATGGACCCAAGAAGACTCAGCCCCTTCTGGTCACCTTTCCCTTGGAAAGGGGGAAAGGCACTCATAGGTTGAAGAAGATTTTCAGCAACTGGTCCCCTGTTCGCGCACGCCCGTTTCTGCCTGTCACTTTTCAGGGGATAGCGACTCTGAGGTCCGTTTCTCGAAAGCCCCGGAAACTTTTCGGGCCCGCAAAGCCATTTTTGATTAATCTGTATCTGAAAACAGAGAGGTGTATACGCCTGAAACTTCTTGTTTGTAGAGAATCTCTGCTCATATTAAGAATATAAGAATTAAACAGCTCTGTAATCATAAGGTTTGAGCTTTTGCCACGGCTTTCCGGTACGAAAACATTTCGAGATCCTCGAGAAACGGGCCTCTAGTTGCCTCTAGTCTGTTCTAAAATCCACTGAACTGGCCATGTTTGTCACGCGATAATGCAACAGAGTGACAACAGGGCGTGAAAGATGAAGAGCGAATTGCTTGCTCAGAGTGTTTTTTTTCTTTGTATGAACTGTCACTCCCCTGCTTTTGTGCAATCGTGGTTAAAAAAAGAGAGCCTGTTTGTCGAGATGGTTATCTCCATCAACCATAGAATGACCTCGAAACTACTGCCTATTAGTAGCTAAACATTTTTCCACCCATGTGTGGCATTGGAATTATCGAAACTTCTGGACCAGCAATCGCTGGTTGATGCATTCGCAGTTTGTTATATTTCCGCTTTGCTCCCCGATTCATCGTAAGCCGTTCAAGTAACGTAAGAAGCCTGTGCTGCAGACTGCAAGGATTAATATGCAGAACTTTGCGTGTTTTCATGCCTTTGGAATATGGCTCTTCACTTAGCCGTAAAGAATCTTTCTGTCGTTATTATCAGTATTTATGCAAAATAGACCTTTTGCAGTCTAAACACGTCTCATAATTGCATTTGCCTCGAGGCCCGTCACATAAAGAAACATAAAGAAATGCAAATAGCGAGGTCTAATCGTCACTCCCTTTCAATCATTGCCGAGCAAAATAGAAGACCAAGCTTTAAAAATTTATATACTTGAGAGGCGAAATAACGGTAGTCTAATGAAGGTTCGTCACGCTTACCAACGCGACCTTCTATCGCACCTTAATTGGTATACGGGATCGGTTACTCAAATAACTCGAAATCTCAGTTGTGAATGCACTTTGTTCTTCCCGACAAACAACAAAGAAAAAACCCGCCCTTTCAAGGAGACCCGGCCGATTGTATTTCCGTCACGCTTTACTACATCCCTTATAATAGCCAGGTGTGCGACTTCAGTGACGCGTGGTTTGGTTGGGTCAGTCGGCGGTGAACTTGTCGGTGCCGAACGTTGTGTTTCCAGTGCGATCTGATTAGGAGAGAGAAATGAAGGCCTTCATAATATTCTGCGCCTCGTTTTGCTTTACCTTAGGTATGGTATACTTTTAACTTTGCTTTGTCCAGTGTTAAGTTTGGGATCGAATTTGGACTTTTGTCCCCGCGCTGCTCACTGTTGATTTCTAGAGAGTTTTCGATCGTGCGAAGCTTCGAGTAAACCCTTCGTTTCCATCTGAGCGCGAGGTTAAGGTAATTTCAGAAACGATGTTAGCTTTCTGAAGAAACTTTCTCATCTTCTTTCGTGATGCCATGTGTTCAAATGTCAAACCTTTATACAACTGACTTGCAGGAGTAAGTGAAACGACGAAAATGTCCATCGGAATTCTGTGCCCAGCAGAGATTCTGTTTCGATCGGTTAGAAACATTTGATTAAATATGGGGGTAATATTGGTCCTGCAGAAAGCAGTAACTGCTTGTAAATACAGCTCTAGATCTTAAACTTCACTGCAGTCATTAGGTGGGGTTGCTGCATAATAAATTTCAAAAGATTCATTTGCGCATAGTTCATAATACGGTTGCTCTCTATGCTATCTGTTTTTCTTCTTATTTTGTGTTTAATTTAAAGATTTGTAACCGTACCTTGCGTTTGTTAATCGTGCTCTGTTTTCGCTTTTAGTTTCAGGGTCCAACGGAGGTAAAAATATAACCTTGGACACCGAAGCCAGTAAGTGATTTGTATTCCGCTCTGTTTCACATTCAGTAGAAAGTAGTTAGAAGTTATTTATTCAAAGATCATAATCTGCAGCAAATTCTAACAAGAAGACCAAATTCTAACAAGATTGATCCCCGAGAGATAAATGAACAGACTTTATTTAGCTTATCTTACTTGGTTGGCTTTTGACTCCATAGGAATAATATTTCATTAGACACTCAAAAAATGCCATCTATTGTTGACTACACCATGTGCTCCTAAACCAATTTGAATGCATATTTTCCGTAACAAATTCCCCTTCACGCATATATCCTGTTTATTAAACTTGAGCTAACCTTCTTACTCCCAAACATGTCAGAAAGAACGTTATTTCGTAGAATGTTTCAGTCGAGACTGTTTAGCCTAGCACGGTATTATGTGTCTTCGCTCAGGGTCGTATATCAGCATTTGAAGTGTTTGCTTGCCATTTCTGCCAGGGGGTCGATTGAGTTTTTTTTTTGTTAAGAAAGGCTCGGTGCTCTGAATTCGTACACAGTTAAGAATCAAAGAATGCTCCAGAATATTGAATTTGCAGGCAACCCTGGTCTGTGGACAATGCTAGCTAATTTTGCGGTCACAATAGTAAGAGTTAACCAAAAATGCGTGAAATCCTATTCAAATCAAAACCAAACCTTTATGTCTATTGATAAACAAAGACACTTTGTATAAGATAACTTCATTGTTATGCAGCTCGCTCCAGACGGCCTGATCATTCGCTTTTGAAGCGACAAGCCGTGCAAGTTGTATTCGCACATTGATTTTAGTTTCCATAAACGCTCAGTAAATCCTTTGTAAAGTTAAAAACAAAAAAATATCAAGCGCTTTTTGAGATCAAAACTACTAATAATCAATTCAACAGCGCACGCGAGTGACAGCAATCGTGATTTATCCAGCCCTATTTCCATTTGTAATTAGTTTCTATTATGCAAATTCTTTGGATTTCGCCTTTGTTGATCTTTGTTCTGTAGATGTTGCATTCAAATTCACCTTCAAAAAAGAAGAGCACATAACCGCCAGCGTTTTACTCGCCTGAAGTTAAAACCTTTGAAAAAAAAAAAAAAAACCCTGAAAGAATGGCGATCTTTGAAACCTGCCTGCCATAGTTTACACTAAATTATTTTCCCTGCTTAGAGTGAAGATTAGAGCGAAAAAAATGCATATATTTTTCATTGTTACTATCTTTTATCAGAAATTATGAAAGACAAAAACGCCCAAAGAATATAATTCCATAATGCAAAGTTTTGCAATCGGACATTTAAAGATCACTTTCTCTGGAAGTAGACTGAGATAAAAATCTGCGGAGATGTGCGAAGTTACATATATTCAACATCATTGCAGAAAGAATGAAAATGAATTAATATACTATGCCTGAGAGCTAAGCAAAGGGTGTTCACTTCAAGATAGGTAACGACACGCATGCGTAGACTTAAAACATGGAAAGTTAGCGAGAGGGTCCTGTAAAGAAAGCTTTTTCAATGACCCTACAGGACCGTAGCCAGAAAAAACTACGACTGAGACAATTCTCTTCCTAGGCCTTCAACAGTCTTTACTTTCTCCCTTCAAAAAAGAACCAACAGAAACGACAAGAAAAACAAATAAAATTAAATAACTGAGGGAAGAGCCTCGGGGTTTGCCTCATACTGGCAATGGCCCTATCCTCAAACTACCTTATGCTGCTTTTTGTTGTTGTTGTTGTTGTTGTTGTTGTTGTTGTTGTTGTTGTTGTTGTTAAATTTTTAGCGGCGCCTCCTGAAAAGAGCTATATGTTGATAATAGTGAGTTTGGGAACAGTGTTCAGCTTTTAACATTCGGCAACGTTTTGCCTGAGTCAATTAGACTTAATTTTCAAGAAATTGAAGTTTAATCACAACAGAAAAATTTAAAGAAGTCCTCATTTGATGAAGGCCGAATATGATATAGAAAATCAAACAACGACAACAAGAAACAAAAAGAGACTATTAAATGATTACTTGCCAAACGTAAGGAACAAATAGGTTACATGTGCTGACTTGCTTATAAAGCCAAAAGACTGAGAATGATGTCACTGGCTGGCTAACTAAGAGAAATAAAATAATGGATGGGTTCATCAAGTAATTTTGTTTCTTACATGCAGTGATACATTAGTGCTTTTATCCCCCTAACTCCTCTTTTTTTTTCCTTCCAGAAATAGACGTTGTTTGCATGGCTGACTACATTGAGGTATCACTCCAATTGTCAGACTATCCAGGTCTTATTGTGAACGACTCTGTCCTTCACCTTGAAGACAAGGCTTGTGTGGCTGGTTATAAGGACGAGAACATGGTTAAGTTCACTTTTGGACTTGAAGCCTGCATGACTACACAAGAAGACGATGGCGATAAGATTTACTACATGAACAGTGTTTACCTCCAAGCTGATGAAAAGGCGGACGATAAGGCGATTACTCGTGAGCATATGGAAATTATCCCGTTTAAGTGTGGGTACGACAAGAAGACTGTAATCTCTAAAGTGTCCTACAGTCCAAGGAGTACTCTTATCATAACAGATGCAGGTAATTTGGAAAATCTTACTAATGCTTTTTTGGAACACACAAATTAATTGTAGCTAACGTAGGTTGGCGTGTTGTAGTTATATGTATCTGTTGATAAATTAGACGTCAGTTTAACAGAGTTATTTTTTGAGGGAAAATAGGAGGACATCTACAATGTACCATTGGTACTGGTCAATACGTCGAGGACGTTTTAGCCTGCGTAGCAAGCGTTTCCGTGGGGTTTGGAAGCAACGAAAGACCGACGAACGGGATTTTCGGTGTTCTGTCTGCGTGGAAAATGGGGCTCCAGTTTTCGCGCTGTAATTCTTTGCTCCCGAACCCCACAGAAACGCTTGCTACGCAGGCTAAGGACGTTTGAAAGCATTTGCCTTTTTTAAATAAGAAACCTTGGAAGATGTTTTGTTTATCAAAAACACGCTTAATAACAAAACCATTTTCGCAAGGTAGGTGTGCATAGGAAAAAAATTGATACAACAGGAAGGAACCATTGTTTTGTTAGTTGTTTTCGCAAAGAAACCAAAACCATTAAAGCAACCGAAAACTGTTGATTAAATACGACACTTTGTTTTAAGCTGGTGCCGTTGTGACACGTATTCGAATACAAATAGTGACGGTGTCAGATGACGGTGCCAGAAAAGTCCTATACCATTTTTGTTTTCCATTTCTAGATGGGATTGGCAACTTTACATATTACATGGACATGTACGAGGATGAAACTAACAACGAAATCGTGACTGAATTTCCAAAGGCGGTTGGTCTGGGTCAGAGGATGTACTTTGGTTTCCGAGTGGAGTCTGGTGACTCGGAATTGGTTGTGTTCCCGGATGTCTGCAAAGCCACAGCATCGTCGAGCTTTGATTCCACTCCTGTCCATCTTATCATTGAAGACGCGTAAGTTGAGAAACTGTGTGGCTTCCTTACTAATTGGCTATGTGTCATCAAAAACTCCTCAGTAAGTCTTTGAAAATCTTTACTGAATCTGTGGACAAAAAGCCTTTAATGAATCTCGCTAAAGCCGTTGAGCATTTTCACCTCGGCATATAGTGCAGTTTTGATGTTCCTTTTAGGGGAGAAGTTCACTTTTTTACATGCAAGTCCCTTTGGGCTTCTAATAACTGATAAATAGCTTAGACTGAATGAAGGAAATGACAAAACTTTTCACTGCTATTTTTTTGTCATCAGTTGCTCCCGGGATAACACGTTGGATTATCGGTACGAAAAAAATGCCACGCAGTTTTTCAATCTTGCCGCTTTTCGCTTCCAAGAAGGATACGATGATGTGTACATCCACTGCAAGTTGACGGTTTGCCGCACAGATGACGCTGGATCACGATGCGACAGGGGATGTGGCGAGAACAGAAGGAGAAGGAGATCAACCGAGGAAAATATGAGTACAGAGCTCTATGTTGGACCGTTGCAAACCAAGAAAATGACGAATGAGCCTGGTAAGTAATTTCGCCAGTTTAACTGATTTATGGTGACGTTATCAATTTTTTAATGTTTGCTTTGAAACAAGACTTAATTAAAGTTAGTAGGGAGTACAGAAAATGTAAAATGAATGAAACTTGGGAAAGGTTGATCACAAAGAGTTGTTCAAGCGAAGTTACTGTTTGCCTTGCTGAATGTTCCATTGCATCTGCCAAAATAAACATCTGTGAGAAAATTCTTTCAAAATGGGCTTAACTGTCCTAAAATATTGTTCTTGTTTGGCTCAGTTTGACTTTGAAATACTGTTACGTATAAGGGCGATTGTGTTGTGGTTATATTGGTTTTTGCGCCGTTGGGATAGATAGCATGCCAAGGTAAGCGATCGAAAAACTGAAAATGCCTTATCACCAGGAAGTGGAAGTCTGAAGTCATGAAAATGTAAAGAAACTATTTCAATGTTGAATAAAAAGACTTGTTCAACACAGGAACTTTGTTGATAAACAGTTCAGATTTTGATTACTATTTTGCACTTGAATTAAAGGCGTCATAAATTGTTGTCGATCATAATCTCAAACATGATGCCGAAAAAAGTGTTAACAGTTGGAATTTTTTTTATCTACCATCTTTTATTTGAGCCGAACTCTTACTAGCTATTTATGAACTAAATCTGCTTGTGGAAAATTTACCGCCGTAGCGTTTTTATAGGGCTTAGTGACGTTTGTAACGTTTCCCTTAAGAGAAAAGGTTTGAAGTTGTTTAGAAGACAGGCTGAAGTCAATTTTACAAACTCATTAGGACGGTCAACTTAACTGTATCGACTTTAAGATGATAAATAGATAGAATGCTTGGTTTGTCATTGAAAGCGGCAGTACTTTGCTTAAGAACTTTGCTCACTTAAATTATAAACCCGAAACCTTGGGAGGGTGGGAGGGGGGTGACTCAAATTTGTCAGTGTTTGGCAGGCTTGGCCTGGCGTAATCCACCACTCTGTTAGAGAGGGACGAATGGGCTGTTATCACTTACTTTTTTTGAGTCCTTCTAAAAAAACTCTGCTTTCCTCTCCACAGCTGAAGAGCACAACTACGAGTCAGAATCGGCCTCTAACAGCAGCATGGTCATGATCGTGGCAATACTTGTCGGAGTGTTGGGGACCGTCGCCATCGGCCTCATCATTGCGGTAGTCGTCATCAGCCGACGCCGCAACATCTCTGCGAAGGGCGCCTCCCTCATTGTCGGTGAAGAAATGTAGAAAGATTGGCATTTAAGCTGTAATGTTTGAAAGAACTGAATCTTCCTCACAGAATCAAGTAGTCCGAGATCAAAATGCTTGGTCTCACAGATCGCTCTACCTTATATTTTCTAGTACAGATCGCCACTCTATCTTATATTTTTTAAGTTGGATTTTTAGTTTACTTTTAAAACTACTTTGCATTTGATTCACTAGCTATAATTTTTATTTGGGAATTTGCATTTTACGTGACCTGATTTATGTAGATTATGTGAACAAAACATGTTTAATTTAACTTTCCTTTATTACGCATCTAATCACCTTGAAAATAACTTCCGTAAAATGGCTCCTCTGTAAGTTACGATGATTTCACTTTTTTTAGACAATACAGCTTTATGAACCCGTTTCTCTCATCAGGAAACGAATTACCTTTTTGTGGAAACTTAGGTTTTGCTCAAGCTACTTTAAAACGGTCATTATGGTTCAAATCCATTAACCTTTTTTCGGGGACAGCTACTTTTTATCTTTTGCTGCAGCGTGTTCCATCGACCGCTTCTTAAAAAGTCTAAATACTTTTGCTGTGAGGAAGTTTCATTGCAGATAGTCCCCACACAATTCTTTGCTTTTTCTGAGTGTTTCGGTAAAGTTCGTGGATGTCTTGACTTGGAGAAAAAAAAGAGGGGGGAGAGTGGATTGTGACAAGAAGGAATCAAAAAGTAGGATGTCTTAAAGACGTTCTTTAAGAAGAATGTTTGAGTTGTTCTAAGGTAGCTTGAGAAGAACAGAACTCGTTTAAACGTAACTTGGAATATAAGATTTAAGAGGTTAACTTGCTTTCGGTGGGTTAAAGGGTAACAAGAATGCATGCTCTTTCTATATTCAAGCTGTACTACGATAAGGGAGAAATAAATACCTTTTCTCCTCGCTAGCCCCGATGACTCAGGTATGCTGTTCTTAATTTTAACCAAAGGCAAGGAAACTCGTGCACTAAAACCCAGTACCGTAGAGTTCCTGACTGAAAGTTTTGTTTGTTAGTCCGTTCATCACTTGCCAAGGCAGTTCAGTCGAGTAAGCGAGAAAATAAGATTATTTGCCTGAGCATTCATCCTTGCTAACAACAAGGTATAACATAACCTTTGTCATTAGTAGACCATTAGTAATCTTAACAATTTAAGTCTTCGAGTTGCAGATTAACTTTATTCAGATTTCAAGTTCTTGTGAAGCCTTTGTAACGTTCCACCGCACACCTGCATATTGCTGGCAAGATTCTTGATCCTTTAGGCTTCTGGGAAGCTACTTTCAAAGTTCCAAGTGACCTTCAAAGGACTCGACCCCAGTCCTTTACTGTAAGTCCAGAGTTTTGGCGGAGAAATTGATCAGGTTTGCAAACCAAACTTTACCACTTCATAAATTCTGTTCGCTTAAGTTTATCTCTCTTTGAGTAAACTGGGCCTTTTGGAAGCCAGCAAGCGAGCGACGAAATTTAACCAAGGTCTGGAGATCCTATGTGTAACATGAATGATGCCTATGAAACCGTTGATCGATTTCTAACAATGTATAAACAGCTCCTAAGAAGCCTAGAGAGGACAACTTTTGTAAGTTGTATTGTTCACTGCCAAAATAAATCCGAATAAAGTATATTCTGTTTTCTTAGATGTGCGAAATATTTTTTAATAACTAGACTACCATTTTTGTTGAAATCTCGGCAGACGAGGACTGTTAAGATCGGTATTGTCATCCCCTGCCTAATGCACCAAATCGAACCCCAGGTAAATTGCGCTTACTTCCTCACGCTTAGCTGACTTATTTAGAAGTTTAGTTGGTGTAGGCTCCCAAACCAGTCTCGTTCCCCCACCACCTCCCCCCCTCCCCTAGGAAAGGAAACTGGCTGGTACGTGTGTGGAATAGTTGTACCAGAAACACATGCATTTTCCAAGCATAAGCACGAAAGTGACATGACTTGTTTACTGCTTCCTTGACCATGTGTCCGCTTGCTTCAGGACCATCAACTCTTTGCCGCGGCTTTGATCATGGCCTGCACCCACATCTCATTGAGGCCAGGGCTGAAATAGTATAATTCCTGCAAAATGCAAAGCTCAAACGTTTTGTTGGTCTCGTTTTGCTAGCTGAGTTGACCCGTTTAATTCCCCTTGTATAGGTCAGTGTATAACTTGACCAAGTGCTCTCTTTGCGCAGGATAGCTCCCACTGAACGAGAGTAACATAAATGTTCTTCTCAGTCCAAATACCGGTGCAACGTCAATCAAGAAGCACAAGGGAATAGTAACCGTCCTGTAGCTTCCTGTAAGCGGAAAGTTGAGAGTATAGATATCATGGTTTTTATGATTTGGTGGAATTCCTTCACAGTCGTGGAAGTATCATGAAGATCGCTGTATTTCACAGAAGTAGCACGTTTGTATCAGGTTGAGCTTTGTCACGCTAAATTTACCCCGAATATCTTTGCAAAATAACAAATGGCTTAATTATCTATTGTCTTTTTCAATAAAGGATAAGTCTTCGCCTAAATGGTGCTATTTCCCTATCACCACGTGCAATCTTCGTTTACAAGCTCAGAATTTCATTGACTTATCGCCGGGTATAAGCAATCACCTTCACAAGAGCATAGTTAATAGTCATAGTTGGTTACTAACTATGACAAGAGGCAGAGGACGTCTTAAACTCAAACTCTGAGGTTAAAACCTTTTCACTGATAACGTGTTCATCGTCTTATTAAACAGTCTTTTTGGCACCACTGCAAAAGTGGCGTGGTCGGTAATGGAGTCTGCTTAAGTTAATTGACTAGTGCATGCGAAAACGAAAACCTGAATAGCTGCATGATGCCAGCTCAATGCGCATAACTTTTAACTAGATAGGAAAACTTGGAAAAGGTTCTGTCTTCATTTGGAGAGCCACTAGCGTGTTCTAATAACAAACAGTTGGAATGCAATAGCAGGGACACCTCTGCATAATTTGCATAAATTACCTGTGTTTAG